TCCTCACCTGCAGTGACCCCAGCTATGCCAGTCCTGAAACCCCACACAGCTCTGTCGAGGCATCCCACGCCTGTTCTGCAGCCCCACCTGCTACTCCAGTCCTGGGTTGTGCAGGGATGAAGCTGTGCGTCTGAGGCTAGCACACATACAGGCCACTGAAGTCATGCGCCTGACCCCCTCTGAAAAAAATCACTCAGGTCAGATGCTAGAATCTGCCATCTCCTTGGAGACCATCAGCTACCCTTTCCTCAGGGCTGGAAAGGGGCAGAGTCCAGCAGGCAGGAGGAGCAGAGCTGGAGAGCAGGGTGGGGGAAGGGCAGCAGAGACTATGTGAAGTGACCATTTCTCAACCACACAATAGGCCGAGCAGCACTCATTTGTCCAAACGATTCAGTGACTGGTTACAAACCCGTTTGAAAGGCTGTAGGCTCCACTTGTGAATGATTCACTATGCAACAAAGAGGCTAAATTAGCAATAAATACCAAGCACACTCTGCCATTTCTCATCATGCACCCCTGCATAAAGTGAGCGTTAAACATGGCCACCAGTGTGTAGGGTTACCATATTTCAACACTGAAAAAAGAGGACACTCCACGGGCCCCCGGCCCCGCCCCAACTCCGCCCCTTCCCCGCCCCCAGCCCCACCCCAACTCTGCCCCTTCCCCGCCCCCATTCCAACCCCTTCCCCAAAGTCCCCGCCCCAACTCCGCCTCTTCCCCTGAGCACTCCGCATTCCCCCTCCTCCCTCCCGCCCCCCGGGCTCCGGCGGCTGCTGCACTGGGGAAGTTGCTTCTGCCCCGGCGCGCGGTAGAGAGCAGCGGGAGCCGGGACAGTTGGAGCCCGGGGAGGAGGCGGCTGCGCGTTCGGATGCCACCGCCGCTTCTGTGCCCCGGCAGATCGGCAGATCGCGGGAGTTGTAAGTTTTGCTGCAGCCACTCGCACTCGGGGTCCCCTTACCATGCCTCCCTATTTTCCTGGACATGTTCGGCTTTTTGGAAATTCCTCCCGGACGGGGATTTGAGGACCAAAAAGCCAGACATGTCCGGGAAAATCCAGACGTATGGTAACCCTACCAGTGTGAGAATGGGCAGGTTGCACTGCACACCTACTTGGCACGGCCCATATGGCAACACAGGGTGCCAGGCAGCCAGGGATCAGGCCCACCGGCCAGCACGTGCGGGCCAACCTGGTCTGATGTTACGCAGCATGCTGTTCTATTGTCGTGGACTGTCTAGCACAGTGCAACGCAATGCGCCATGCTGTAACACAAACTAAGGCTACGTCTACATTAGCACTTGTCAATAGAACGTATGTCACTCAGGAGTGTGAAAAAACACCCCTCCGAGCGACGTACGTTCCACCGACAGTCATGCCAGTGTGGCCAGCACGACATAGCTCTCGCTGCTTGTTGGGGGTGGTTTAATTATGTCACCGGGCGTGCTCTCTCTCCCGCCAGCATAGCACGGCTACACGAGCGAGCTGCATCGGTACAGCCGTGCCACTGTAAGCTTGCTAGTGTAGACATGGCCTTACTCAGTGCACCGGGGCAGCCCAGTAGGCGTGAACTCCAGTCAGAAAAACCTCATCAGGTCTGTCTCCACGCAGGGTTGACAGGGCTGAGGTAATATGGTGAGACAATCCATGGCAGCAGCTCTCAACGGCACTGTAGTAATATTACTGATGATCCTATCAGCCAGTACTACAGTGCAATGTGATACCCCAAGATACCCCACAGTACTGCACCCCAGGGCCAGATAAGCCTCGTCAGTGGGGTTTTTTTAAGACCTGGTTAGACAAACAGTTGTCAGGGATGGATGAGGTCCTGCCTCAGTGTGATGGGGGGGGAGGGTGGAATGGACCAGAAACTAGAGCAGTGGTCCCCAACCTTTTTGTGGCCAGTAGCACATTCATGTTTTCAGAAGAGTGTGGCGGGTGCCAACCATTTTTCAAGGCTTTTTTGTATTTGTACATTAAATAATACAAAAAAACATCAT